CTAGTTGTCCTCTGGTGTTCCGATGGAAGAATCTCCCTTCGAAGAAGGTACTGCCCGCGAAAGACCATAAGGAGTGCAGGAAATCAGCCGCATCAGCTTGTTCATCCGCCTTGAAGGGAGCCCAGACTTGGTGCATGTCATGGAGACCCTCAAGGAGCTGGGGCTCGCTATCAGATAGGTATTGTCGGACTGCTCGGTGTGTTCTGCCCCATGCCAGTGCTGCATCTTCAGCAAAGCCTCCCGCCCAACACCAGCATCTCCAAGGTGCATTGCCAAAGCACTTGTTCTTGGGATTGTGAAGAATGCTGGTGAGGCATTGGGAGATCACAAAAATGTTGGCCATTGAGTGTTCCACTTCGCCAGGTACCTGAAGGTGTTTGTGCACCAGGTTCTGCATGCGTTTGAGGTCCATGAGCAGCTGCTGCCCATTGTGTAAAGTCTGATGATTGCTATAGGCCTGACTGGAGGTGTTCAGGTCCTGCACGCACAGGTTGTATAGAGTTTGTTGCTCAAAAGACATTTGGTTGTCCTGTTCATCCACAGTGTGCAGCATCTTGGTCAAGGCTCGGATGGCGGAGGTCCCGAAAGTAGCAGTCCCCTTGCGGGGCTGCTCTGAGGTAGGTGAGCTCGGTGCCTCCGGATCCGCCTGACGCGGTGCCGCCTTGGAAGTAGTCAAAATCGCCCCCCCCCAGGATCTTGGGGCCGCCAGTGTGTCGCCGGCAGGGCCCATAGCCCGAAGGAAAAGGACGGCTCGTGCTTGAGCCTAATTGCAAAGGTGATTCAACATGAAGCGCAAAACCCCTGCACTCATGTGTAGGTGTCCCCTGTTCATGGGCAAGATGCCATGAGTCAATCCCCAAAGTAGACTGTTCACAGGCCGAGACTGAGGATGGGCTGTTACCCACCCGACGTTTGGCTGCCTGGAGCTGTCTTGCGTCGTTTGGCCTCTTCCTCAGCATCAGCCTCGTTTGATGGCCTCTTCAACATGACATGAAGTTGGTCTTTTTGCTCCTGGGTGAGGTTGAGTCCAAGAGTGCTCAGAAAACCAGAAACTGCCTCGGGGACTGAGTCTTTCATCTCAGTGTCCAGAGGTTGCAGTGGTTGTTCCATCTGCATGGCGCTGACTTTGGTCATGTAGGCCGTGCTGATGGTGTTAAGGGAGCTCTGTTCAAGTTCAAGCTTGGTCTGCAGAGATTTCATCTCATCAAGCAAATCCTGGTAGTGCTTCTTGGTGCTGTCAATCTTCTGTTGCAGGATCTGCTTCCGATGCGAGATGTCCCTCAGAGTGCAGACTTGCTGCTTGAGCTTCTGGGCCATCTCCTTTTCTGACTCTGGTTGTGGCTTGGTGATTCTCTCAACCAGTTCCTTCACAGGTGCCGGAAGGCTGGCCAAATTCTCCTTGAGCACATCCGTGAGGTCAGGTTCGGTTGTTTTGGGCGTCGGATTGATGCCCAGTTCGGTGAGCTTGGCCTTCATGGTTGGATCCATGGTGTCCCATGCTGGAGCTAAGATCTCCGCTGCATTCTTCTGGAGGCGTCCTGGCTTGGGTGGTCGTGCATGTGGAAGACCTGGAGGAGGGGTCAAAGATCTCGTCTGCCGAGTCTGCCATCTCCTTCTAGGCCGGTAGTTGGAGGTCTTGCCAGCCGCTCCTTGAGTTGGTTGCTTCCAAGCCGCTCCACAATGCCTGCATGTATATCCAGGTTGGATCCTATCTTCCCAAATCCAGTTCCTGCAGGTGCTCGAAGTGCAGGTCTGGTAAGTCCGCGTGCTCCAGTCCATGGGATCGTGTGCAGGTAGAGTCCGAAGATGGTGCCTGCCTTCTCTTCAGGGATGGTGTGCTCGTAGACGCGAAGTGCCAGAGCGAGAAGTGGCGTCCTGATCCTTGAACCGAGAAGGCTTGAGCCAAAATGGCTACGGAGATATACAATTAATATATATATATATATATTATATATATATTATATCCCTTAAGAAACAAGAACCGGTCTTCAAAAGGGTCAGTGAAAACCATACTGTGTGTTGTGTTTCTAAATGAAAACACATTGTTTTTTAAATGTAGACTCTACATTCAAAAAGGTCTTCATCTAAGAGGTTTGTCAGGATGTTTGACTTACCCCTTTCTCATCCTGTCCCACCATTCATTCCAACCATGGTAAATCATGAGTTGAGGCTACGTGCTCCTCAATGTCTCAACCTTGTATACATCGGAAGGGTTCAGAAAATACAACAACAACAACAACAACAACCATTTTTGTGTTTTCAGGCATGTTTTGCAAAAAAACATGCAACATGTTAAGAAACTCCTTCCAAACATCCTCCGGGGAAAAGTTATATAAACAACCCAGAAGGAATTGCCGATTACTACGGGGTAAAGTACGGGTTTGCACGAGCTTGGCACGGGTTGCGAAAACATAATATAATGTTTCTTAATACCACCCGATGGGGAGGTATTTGTGCAAAAGTACGGGTTTGGTACGGATTTGGCACGGGTCGACATCCACGTTCATGTTTTCACTGTATTTCTCAGGTGTCAAGATCTTGGGTGATTTTCAGAGCAGACACTTTCTATGAATCATGCTATATAATTGTTGTTCTTGATTCTCTTTGTGCAGTATGCGAGCTGGGTGGAGGACATTGGACCTCAGGCGCCAACGGAGACCCATTTGGAATATTTGAAATGCCCTTATTACTCATCAACACAAAGCCTTAGAATGTCAAGAATTAAGAGTTTCCGGGAAACGTGATGTTTTTGCGTTCACCCCGTTAAACATCTTTAAAATAAAGAGGCTTTGGTGCTTTTCATTTATATCTACTGTTTCCATAAAGATGCGGTGCAAACAAGGCTTAGAAAACAACACATGCCACCTGAAATTCATCCAAGACACAGGTCCTAAACATAATCTCGAAACATACCTTCAAAACATTCCTCTTACATATTAGATGACCAACGTTGCGACAGTGGAATTGGTTTTGATGTTGAGTTGTGAGCCACAGCTCATGGCCAGTGGCTATCTTCTTGAACCTTCTTGAACAGCACTTAAGCCTTAAGCACACTAAACATCAAACAGCTTATTTTTTTTCCCAACCCACATGTTGCAAACACATGCTCAAATCCCGATACCCCAAAAACATCTCCGTGATGCATGACGCCCGAAGTATCCCCGTGGGCCTCGTTTGCTAGACATGGCGCTACGGACGACCTTCATTTGCTACAGACACCTGAGCCAACATGCCCCCCTGCTTCAAGACGTGTTGCCGCCTGCCCTACTGCAAGACATCAAAAACTAGAAAATGCATATTGACCTTAATTGACTTGGCCTCGGAAGAAAGGGGCTGCCACGTGCTCGTTCTTGGTGCATTCCTCCAGAACCAATCCTTCCTTCCTGCGCCCAGAACTTTCCTTTGCTGAAAGTTGATTTTGCCCTTGGTGTTTTGTTTGCTATGACCAGTTCTTCCATCTCCTCTCGGGCTGGAGCAATGAAGATTACAACACTCTCAGGTGCCACTGTCACCCAGCTTCATGGTTAGACAGATCAAAGAGGCTCCTAGCTGGTCGAGTTGGAGAGTTGGAGACTCAAGGTTTCGACAAAGACTCTTCAGTGAAATCATGAGACTTCGCTTCCACCAAGTATGCAGCTGGTAATCCTGGAATTCGTGCTTGAAGAGACAGCTTGGGAGGCTCTACTCCTGCGTGTGAGAACAATCGAGTTGTGGAAGCTACACAGTTTCTTCAGAAACCACTGGATCCCAATCGGAGAGGTGCAGACACTGTCCCTCCACCTCTGCATCAATCATGCAGCAAAACGGGGCCACTTGGAAGTGGTGCGGTTGTTGCTCGAGGCCGGAGCTGACCAGAACGCAGCAATGCAAGACAGGGAAACTGCGTTGATGGTTGCAGCTGTGAAGGCTGTGAAGGGCCACTTGGAGGTTGCGCAGTTGTTAAGAGTGGAGGTCGCGCATGAATTTGGTGCGCTTAGATGCGCTATATATAAGTTGGTTTAGAATGGTTTCCAACGTAAAATGCATGCATGCATGGCAGCTGCTCAACCACGCCGGTATATACACACACGACGATCGCACCCCTCCTGATGGGTCGAAGATCGCACCATCGACGTCGAGATGTCCTGTCCCTATGGGGCCTACCCCTCGACATCCTATCAAAGAGGGGCTGCAGAGGATGGCTGGTCTGCACAGCCGATACACAGGACCACCACAAGCAGGGTTTGTGCAATTGGTCGTGCCAGGAGTATGATGAATTCATGGAAGACTCCAAGATTGACAAGGTGCTGTCGCGTCGTGAACGCATCTTCCAAGTTGTTATGTGATGCAACACACACGTTTGGGGTGACATGTAATGACTAGAGATGCCTCTAGTCCGACTTTCGAAGCACTTGGTGGATCTAGTAGACATGTCAAACACCTCAGATATTAGTTGGAGGATGTTGGAGGTCTCCTTAAACCTATACCTGTTTGGGTTGCTTTGTTCACTCGTTGAACCTCCCAAAGACCGCTCTTTCTGCTTCGACGAGGGTCCTTGTCAAGTGAAGACCTGGAAAAAACCGCGCAATCTCCATGAGAGGCCAGCAAGGAGACTGCACTGAAGCAGAAAAGAGGCAAGACGAGTGCCTGGCTTTGCGTTTGTTGTATGTTTTTGTCAAGTGATTGTTGAATTGACATTCGCATGCGAGAACCACTTTACAATCCTTACAGGTCCCTTGGGCAAAGCCAACTTTGCCACCATTTGGACGAAGGAATCGGTAGAGTCCTCACATGTTCATGTGTGCATGTGGGAATTCGCCAATGGTTTGAGTAGACCGGAATCATTGTGGTTCAACGGTGCCAAATGGACAGACTCACCAGGTCACCGTTTATGGCGTTTCTTTCCGGAGATAAGACTGATCAATAAGACATAATAAGACCGGACCTTTGGGGATTCCTTTTTTGGCAGAAAGCACAGCGACAGATGGATGGGTCCGGTCCGGCGGTAGGCTCGGTCCCGGATGTGGGAACCTCCGAAGCGAGATGGTAGCTCCGGAAGGGTAGTGTGCCAAGAAACAGGACCACCCAAAAGCCGGATTTCTGCATACACAAAAAGTCAGGGTGCTCAGGGTCTTGTCAGCCGGCGCCCTCCAAACCTAGATCACAGTGTCTCCAAGCACCAATACCTGAGAAGGTACGACCGGATCCCTACAAACCCAATGAAAACGTCGCATGCCGCACCGGCTGTCGCGGTCCCACGGTGCTCCTGAGGCACCCAGAATCAGGAGTTGAGCACGGCCAGTGGGGATTTGGAGAACACCCAGAAGGAGCTCAGCGCTGCGAAGGAGTATTTCGAGAAGCTCAAGTGGGGTGCCCGGTGGGTGCGTTTCTGTCGGCTGAAAGAGCGCTTGATTGGTACAGGTGTAGATTCTGGAAAGGTGTAAAGTGCTTTATTAGTATATGTTTATATGATCTATAGCAGCTCGTGGAATCATGGTAGAAGAGAGGACCTCCATAATTTACCTGTAATGCAGAAAGCTTGCAAATTGTTTTTCACCCGACAACATTGGGTAGCGCTCGATGAAACTAGAGAGCCTACCCTATTGTGACCTTTTCTGCTACAGAACAGAAAATCCGACGCGCCTGGCCAGTCGAATGACGATTATATGACTGCAGACAGACACGCACACACACACACAATGGCAACACCAAACCTACTGTAACCATCGGTAACCGCGACAACATTTGACAGTCGACAAGGACAAGCGGAGGAGAAGCAGACATGCATGAGAACAAGGCATCAGACACTGACAAGTAGCAAGCAGCATCAAGCAGCAAGCAGCATCAAGCAGCAAGCAAAAACACACCGTGGAATTCCTGAAAACATGCTCCAGGTTCTTTACACTGCTCACGATGTCCACTGCTAGTTGGGCAGCGATGGCTTGACCTGTCTTTCTTTATTTTTTTTGCAGGGTGCAATTTTCGCATGTGGAAGAGAAGGCTTTTGGATGCTTACATTACATGGTCCCACATGGTCCCAGCCATTGGTATATGCTGTGGCAATTTAGACGTTGCCTTAAAAGCAATTCATTCAACAACGAGGACCCTGAACTCGATCTCGATGCCGCCCTGCCACCCCTTGGATGAATCAACGCCAAGGCCGGACTGCATCGACATTGGCCCTTCCTATGCGGAACGCAAAGCACAAAGGGAGCAAGAGATGCAGGAGCGCCGTCCGATGAAGCGCCACAAAAGGTCCTTTTTTGAGCGCCACCGACGTTGGGGCGTCATTTGACGTGTGATTTGATGATCTTGATGATCTTGGTTGCGTCAAACCACAAGAGGGACATCACATCAAGTTTGTCCCATCAGTTTCACCCCTTTGTACACAGCCACCGCTGGCCTAATCCGTTCAAGCTCCTATAGGTCCGGCGTTTTGATCTCGTTCCATGGCCGGGCCATCGCGGAGTCCGCAGTAAGTCCGTGCCGAGTGAAAGACCAGGACCTCAGGGAAGCCTTGGAGATGCTCGGCAACCTGTAGGCCGCTCCTGAGGGTAGCAGATGGAGTGACGATAGGTGGTTGGTATCCGCTAATTTAGACTCTTGACCCCAACCATTTGAATTGAACATCCTCTTCATCTGGGGGAGTCTACATCAAGAGTCACCAAATAACGAGAGAAGACATGTTCGTTTGTTCGGTGAAAGCAGCATGTGGTGAGTCACTGGTCGCATCCGTTCGATCCCCGATCAGCTCCTTCAACGCCTTAGGCCGCCCACGGGCGTCGACGTCGACGCCTTCCGCCGAAAAGAAGAGCGGACCGAGACGTGACGGGACCGCAGGAGGGTTGGTCATCGACAGTCCAAGACCAACTCATTGAGTGGTTCAGACATGTTGAGAACCAGCAGTTTCAGAAAGGATGTCGTTTTTTTTGGGGATAGGTGGGATAGGTTGCCGGGCTTGCCCATTCTGCACGGACTAAGAAAGGCAACCCCACTGGATTGGTAATAAACAAACCCAGCTAGTGTTCGTTCCAGCTTTTTAGTTTGGCCGCAGGCTACAGTATCACATATTACAATGATGTTTTCATTCATATTACATAACGAATGGAAAACTTGTGTTGCTAAGTTAAAGTCGCCTTTCAGGAGTTTCGGCGGCCCCAATTCGCTTTCGGTCTGCGGTTTCACCACACCGTTCGCGGTGCTTCTACGTCCAAGGTCGGTCACCGTTTCGGTCGTGCGCCACGTGCGCCCACACGTCGGCGTTGTTCGTTCCCGGCGGGGAATGACCTCACTGGTGCACCCAGTCCCAGTCCCGGCGTTTGTCTCAGAGTGCGGACACCTTGGCACTCTGAATCGAACCTGTCATGGTGGGAATTCCCTCACTTGAGACACCTCTACCACTCTTGGTGTCTCAAGTGATCTACAGATTTCAGGTTTTACATGCCTGCAGGGGCATAGATTGGACGTCGCGACAGAGAAGATGCATTGGCAGCGTCCCTTCGAAAGAATAATATATCTATTTGCCAAGAGTAATGATCAGGTGGTCTCCAAATAAATACCAGGTGGATCCCAAAAGGATCTATCTTCCAAATTGTATATAATTTGATACCTATTTTTATTCAGTTGGCATCCCTGGCTCCCGCCCCTCGCGTCTTCCGAAAGCCAAACCAAACACCGTTCGAACGCCTCGAACGCCTCGAACGCCTCGCCTCGCCGTCCTTTCCGCGCTGCCCGTCTCACCAGCCAAGCGGGGCCGCTCCAAGGTGGGAGGGCCGAGGGTGGAGTCCAGGTGTGTGGTGTACGGCCGATTCGAGTGGTAGACCATGCGTGTTTGGACATATGTTGTAGTCCAGCCCTGTGTGTTTGGATACATGTTGTAGTCCAGCACACCATCGGTAGATATGTTGTAAGATGTTGTATAAGCATAGGCTCCAATGGGTAGACTCTGACTATTGAGTAGACCATGGCAGACCCCTGAGCGGGGTTAGCCTTCCACCTTGGTCATCCCTGGTCCTCCAACTTCCGGGGTTCCTGTCGCCGTCCGCCCAGTTTCTGTCGCCGTATCCAGGGCGCGGCGGAGCCGAAACACCCTTTTGTTGACCTCCAAATAGATACTGTAGAACTTCGTAGATCCCCACTAAACCTGGCACGGTGCCATCCTCTCTACTTGGAAGTTCGTAGATCAACACACGAACAAAACGGTATGGGACACCGGTGCCATCCTCTCTATTGGGGGACCATGCACTAGAGACACGACGTCGACCTGGGTACCGGGTACCGGGTACCGGTCCATCGGGCCAGGCGTCATGGAGGGAAAGGGCGGCGGATATGGGTCGCAGATCCTCGGCTGAAGGAACACCTGACCTGGCTCATGACCTGACCTGGGTGACCTGAAATGGCTTTCTGTTCGTAAGTTCTACATGGCTTCTACCTGGCCAAAGCTTTGCCTTTCTTTGCAGAGCCAAAATATCAAATAACATATCCAGGCCACGGGAGAAGAGTCCAGCTAGCGCCAAAGAAGTTGCTTTGGTTGGGTTGACATCTGTGCAGGGTTGTCGGGGCTGAAGAAAGGGTGGGGCTCCATGTGATTTTGTTGTTCCAGCAGCTCTGATGATCAAATATTTGGCTGGCTCGATCCCTGTCAAGATGTAGGTAACATGTCTGTTGCAGCATTCTTGACACAGCTTGCATGCTTGATTGGAGAACAGACCCCAAAACATCTCAAAACCAACTGATGACTTCATCCAGTCCCCCAGAAGCTGCCAGGTCAGGTGCCAGAATTCCGGATAACTTCTGGACGTTGTGAGAAATGTGATGCGAAAACACCTCCTTGGACCATTTGGGCGGAAGGGAGTCGAGTGTCTCTACGGTCCTTTGAGCTGATCGAATGGGATTTCTTAGGCCTCAAAAAGGACTCCCTGGACACCCTCCTAGAACCCACCCCATGGACGAACCTCAGAAGGTACGACTGGAGTCCTAGGGTTGGTGATGGATGAGGTGGGTACCATGTGGGCAATGTATTGAGTCTGTCTATGGCACCCAGGGGTGTTGAAGAGGGGGTCATCCTCCTCTTCATCCAAATCATGGGTACTAAAAGTAGGAGATTGCCTGATATTTGCCTTGTTGATGATGTTGGTCGGCACCAAATCTTCTAAGCATCTTAGCATTTGAGAGCGCAGGCGCATGACCAATCCGTGGGGTTTGGACGGGCCCAGCTTTCTTCAAGCTGAACGTTTGGTGGTTCTGGACATGGCAATACGCATTCATGCAATCTCCATTCCTCGAAGTTTCTGCAGGGCTCGTTGATTGAATCTATAGTATATATTATATATATATATATGTACCCAAACAGTTTACTGTTGGGGTTCTATCTTAGCTGGCCACACTGACTGGCCGTGCCCCTGAAGTCTGTGGCCGGGCTCTGTGGCCGGGTCTTGTCCTCCTCTTGTCCTTCTCTTGTCCTGCTGTTGTCCTCCTCTTGTCCTTCTCTTGTGGCCGAACAATGAGCGATTGCCGCCAAAAATCACTGATAAAGCAGTTTGCTCTTGGGGGGGAAGGTAGGGCGTACCAAGAAACCGTTGACTAATGTTGGTCCAAACGAATCGTTTGGAAAAACTGTTTGGGGTCTATGCTGGTATAGTTTTTATGCAGTAATTTTCGTACACATTAGCATGACTTCACCACTTGGTTGGTTTTCTTTTGGAATCCAATTCACCTGAAAATTCCAAAAAGGGTGCCCCAACATTGCCCCATCCAACAGGCTCCAGGACCTTCACCACGCTCCTCACCTCCCGACCCGCCCAGGCATGTCCCTGGACTTACGGACCGATGGAGCAAAACGTGGGGAGTTTCGAGCCGAAGTCGCTGTGGAGTCCTGTGCCAATGCGGGCTGGAAGGCTGCTGGCTTTGCGCTTGACCCTGACAGACACTTGAGTAGCTTTAAAGTATATACAGGTCAACACGTCCACATGTGCAACGGAATGGTGAGAGGAAGAGAGCAAAGAGAAGCCTTGCGGGTTTTGACATGTTTTGACAGTGAAGCTGCAACTGCAGCTCTTGGTTCTCTTGATGGATCACTTGGGTTAGGGATCAGACATCTACAGTAGGCCCTCTATAGGCTGTAAGAAACTATTCCCTGTCAATGTTCCTCTACAAAATATAAGGTTTTTTTGGCTCGATATAAAAGGCCATATGACATGATGATGCATTTGGGACCCTCATTGTTGAACTACCGACTCCACGGCTTTCCACACGCCTCACACGCTTCATCCCCTCATCCGCCACAGTCAACTGTGACGCCCACGCCCAGAGGGAGCGGTCGGTTGGCGGCGCGGCGCTCCTTTCGGAGGACCAACGATTTGAGGGCCAAATCGTGAAGTACTTGGTGGACAAAGGCTACGGCTTCATCAGGCCCGCGCTCTTGCGGAATCATGTCCGGTTTCCCGAGATAGGAGATGGCGTCCTCTCATCGGACGTCCTTTTTCTTGGAGATATATAATGAATCAACATAGATGAACATTAATGAATTCAGATGATACATATATGTATATATATATATATAAATATATGTATGTATATTACATACCAGGACCCCCTGTTTGCGGTGTCAGTTGAAGGCCCCTTAGAGGTCAAGACACCCCTTGTGGGTCCTGGCATATAATGTTATATAGATCATGTTGCGGCGGAGGGCGCTTATTTAATGTGCTTTGTCGTGTGGGAAATCTCATGGCATGCGAAACGTGGATTCCGTTACAACAAATCATCTACCGCGCGGCGCGTTAGACGCAGAAAGACGTTCAGGCATTCAACAAAACATCCACAAGCAGACAAAACATCCAAAAGCATTCAACAAACCCAGATACTCCATGTATGTCATTTTTGACTACATTTTGGGGTGGTTTGGGTCAAAGCAACCATGTATGTATGCCATACATGGATTGTCTGGGAAAGGTTGACTCTGAGGTGGTGGAGTTGTCGCATGTTGACCTTTCAGGTGTCAAGAGCTGCGGCAAAGTCGATATCCAGACCGAGCAGGGACTCTCAGAGCGACATGTTTGGAGTGTCCAGAGCAGGGACTCCCAGGGGCACGAAAAAGTGGCAAAACCTGTGCAACTGTTTGTGTGCAGAAACATGATATAGAAGGAGGATAAACATCAACAACAGGCACAATTTTTCAATCTTGCGTTTCATCGAGCTGAAGTATCAAGCACTGCATTGTAGGAGTCATTATAGGCATTTGTTATCAATGAAGCACAATGAAGCAACAAGCAACACATTAGGTCTCGGTTGTTAAGTTATGTTTGCAGATGTTTGCTGCATCACCCTCAAAATCACTCACAATGGTTTTGTAGATAGTGTGGGTTTACCAGGAAGACCTTTTGGGGTTTTGCAAGGTTTTTGCCTTTTGCTGACCCTCAACTCTGATTTGCTTCGCACCTGCCTTTTCGGCTTACCCCATGTGACCGTCGCAGTCGTGACACGAGTGGGCCAGTCTTTTGTGGCGCCTCCACCTCACTATATATATATATATATGCACTACATATATGACTATGCATGATGCACACATCAGACTGTGCAGTACGTAAACGACTATTACATATATACATCAGCACTGGTTTTCGCTCGCCCAGCCTTCAGGATATCTTTCTGCATCAAAAGCAGCTCGGGAACTTCAAAGAGGGCGACGCTGTGAGCTTCGGGGTGCCTTGGCAAGTCTAAGAGGTCTAAGAGGTTCGCCGGCTCGCACGCGGCGAAAAATCTGCCGCCTTGGTGACTGGGATAGAACTGGTAGAACTGGTTTCAAAGAATTCAGGTGGTGGAGATTGAATCATGTGATTGATTCTCATGTGACTCGCGAGCTTCTTTTTCGAACCACCAGCACCGGCTTTTCAACTGAGTCTGTGAGAATCATGGGTTGGGTAAACACGCTCAGTTCAAGTTGGGTAATCCCCATGTTTGACAACGTGTCTTTTCGTGTAGAACCCCAAAGCTCTTGCTTGTTGACAAGAAAAGGCCCATCCGGCAGCGTCGGGAAGACTACAGCGCCACGCCTTCAGCCTCCCATGGCAATGGCACGGTGGGGTGGTGAACACATCAATGTAAAGGGCGAGATCATTCGCAGGATTCTCTTCGTTTTTTGGCTCGTTTTGCTTCGCACCACGCAGCTTTTGTGATGACACTGACTGATGCTCAAGTACTGCACCACCCTTTCGGTCAACATACTCTATGCCCACAACCTTTTTGGACGCAGCCTTTGAGAAGGCCAACCAAATTACGGCCGGTTCGGGCAACCGCATGGCGTCGGCGGCTTGCGGCACTCGTTGCCTTTGGGCACCGGATCGCATATCATATCGCCATGGTTGTTCAGTTAGCCATCCTTTTCCCAAGCTTGGCCAAACACGGTGAACGTGAATAGCATCAAAGCATCAAAGGCAAACATCAGCTTGTTTCCAAACTCAAAGGGGTAGTGTTCAACAAGCGCAGCAACGACGTGAGCCGTTGCAATAGAAAAGGGTGCCTTGAGAAAGACACTTTGTTCAAAAATCAACATCAATACCTGCAAGGGTGGCTGGCACAAGATTGCACCCCCCCAAAAAGAAACTAGATAATAACAAATAACAAATAGAACAAACATCTAAAACATAGAAGTCGAAACAATAAGCCTGAAAACAGTTGAATCTGGGCCCTGGGTCTCCCGCGTGGCGTCCTCGTGTGGCGTCCTCTCAGATCTTCCTGAATCGGGATGGCAAGCCTCAGGCCACTGAGCTCGGGAAGCCCAGGCTGCTCATCACTCCTTGAGGATTTAGGAATATCAAGGAATATTTGGATCCAAAGACTTTTGGGTGTTTTTGTATATATATAGTTATATTGGATATAGTTATAGTTATATTATCCTATATACTTTATATATATATAGTTATATTGGATCCTTTTTTTGTCCAAGGACATGGAAAGACACAACCAAATCCTCACGAGCCCGGTTTTGTCACATCCTCCGAACATTGGTTCCTTGAGGTTCCTGATCTGAGGTTTACTGTATGTTGTTTTCTTCTAAGATCCTGTGTTCCTTCATGAGTCAGACGCCAGTGTTTGGGTGCTAGATAGTCAGTCGTTCCAACATCTACTAAGAAGAGGGGCTGTTGAACAGGGGCGCTTTTTTTGAGGCTCGCGTACCTGAATGGCGGCGGCGAGCAGCAGTACCAGCAGCAGGGCCAGTACCCGCAGCAGTCGCAGCAGTACCAGCAGCAGTCGCAGCACCAGCAGTACCCTCAGGAGTACCAGCAGCAGCAGTACCAGCAGTACTCACAGCAGCAGTACCAGCAGGGTCAGTACCAGCAGTACTCGCAGGAGTACCAGTCGCAAGACCACTATGGTATGCAGGGCCAGGGTCCAGGGCTCAGGGGCGAGATCGTGTGGATTCTTTCAAACCGGCGGTTTTTTCCTCCCGGCTCGAGGCCTGGTTGAAGGAATTCAACTCTTTCAACAGATGTGAAAAAGGATAAACAAACACAAACATACTAGATCATCCAGTATGTGGAAAGAACATGAAAACACACACATACAGCCATCCTGGGTGACCTTGGGTGACCTTCGTTGGAGAACTCCCAGATGCCACCCTCGGGCTGGATGCTGAGTGACCTGCCATGCTGAGTGACCGGCCTCGCTCAGGTGGCGACCAGGCGGCCGTTTTTTGGACACAGGGCTGGCCAAGATGCAGAGACTGGGGCACGATGCTGCATGACATGCTGCATGTCATGGTGCATGTCATGACATGATCCCAGCCTTTGACCGGAGGAACCTTTGGAGAGACTGGATCGATCGAACCTGAATTCGCGGCAGTCCCACCAGGTCCGACTTGACAGGGGGAGGACCGCCTCTGGGCGGGGCGGAGGACCTCCAGAGCTTGTTGAATGGTCGGTGACAGAATCGCTATTCCACCATCTTCGGCGTTTCAAGAATGGGAGGGGACCAGGTGTTTAGAACAAATATCATGGGACCCATGATTCGCTTGTAGTATGGAAGAACTCCTTCCAAATTCCAAACCTTGCAGAGACACCCTGCCCTCCACGGGAGATCTGGATGCCAACATGACCCTTTCAGCAAACACTCCAGGCCAGCATGGGCGAATGGCCGCCACAGCCGCCTCAGGATGCGGGTTCTGCGTAGGGTTAGAGCGTCATTCGGAGCGTGGGTGGCAGGTCGTTGGAAGTGCTGCTTAGAGTTCCCCAATGCTGGTCCTTGGGCGATGGAGTCTGATCCAAGTGATTTAAGGAAAAAGATGCGAAAAGGGGTTGTGATTGCCAGAGTTCAGTCAGGCAAGCCTGAGAAGATGATAACAAGATGATTATGGATTCGTCGTCAGGAGGAGGAGGGCACACATGAAGTGGAAGCTAGGGGGACTCAGATGGACTGGCGCAGAGGGTGGGGGCAGCTTTGATGCAGCATGTCAGCATGTCATGTCTTGCGGCATTTCTTAGGTTTGCAGGCGAAAGCCATGTAAAACCCCTTGCCTTCGGCTCAATCTCTCCGCCTTTGTTGTTAATTTTTGGAGGGAAAGGTCAAGGAGTCTCACAGCTGCTTTCGAAAGCTTGCTGGGAGGCATTTGCCCAGGACCTTCAAAGTGACCAAACTTGAGATCTCAGGATGAGATCACCTAGTCTCTGAAGAGATCACTTAGAGACTCGAAAGAGGTCACGTTGAAGGTCCTAGCGGTTAGTGCATGCAACAATATGTAACATGTATTTATTTGCACACATTAGTCTGGTTAAGGATGAAGAATGATCCGTTCCATGCATGCTTTAGTTTGGAGTTCTTTTGCAAATGCCAAAGCTTCTGGGCAGTTTGCTTCAGGTGTTCATGTATGACAATGACTGGTGTAGGTGCCTCATCGCCTGAGTTCTCTCAAGTCCACGGCTAAAGAATATGATTCCTGTCACTGTCACTTACTTCAATGGAACCATCCGAGAAAGTTCTGCGCGCGAAAAACGGACCGGCCTCAGGTGCCAAAGGATTTAGTGTCTCAGTTGGAGGGAGGTTCCGAGCCCAGTGACTGGATGTCTTGTCTTTTTTGCATGGAGGGAGCTGCAGAAGTGGACTCGAGATGTTGTAGATTTTGTAGGGTCTAGTGGGGAGTAGAATGGAGTAAACAAACACAGCAACACTCGGAGATGTCCATCGTTGCAGCTTTCACTGTCCAGCTTTCGGGCTCCGCGCCCTGGTGTCGATCGAGTCTGGAGAAACTCCGTTTGGCGCTGGGTTCTTTCAGATATGGCGCCACTCCAGTGGCAGCTCCTATTTAGCCACCTGCTGCAAAGATCCAGTGTGGCAACATGTCCATATATGTCCATTGTCAACCCATCGTTCGAGTTTGATAAAGCTTATCACTTTAAATCAAGAGCTGGATTAAACAATAATATTAATGATAAAGCTTGATAAGTGATCAAGAGTTTGATGCAACCCACCAAGAGATTGTCACTTATGTACTGTGCAACCTTCTGACCCATTCCAGTGGAGTCAGATCTCACTCTGTTTGTGTTCGATCTCAAAGCAGAAACCATGTTTCAAGATGTTTCAGGTGCCAGACGAGAAACTCAGTGGGATTTTTGCAGGGGTTGTGTCACAGGCTCTTGAAGGTCACAGCGATTTCACATGGAAGCAGTTGTGCCACCTTTTCAGGTTGTGCTGCAGCGGACTTTTGCACACGGCCGATCTTTGTTTCTTTTTTTAATGTTGGGAAAAGCAAAGGAGAGTGGCGTTTGTTGGCTACATGGTACTGCTTATGGAATTTCAGCTGACTGTAGTCGTCATCACAGTTGGCATGGTTGAGTCAGTTTCTTCCTGCAGAATAGTGAAAAATCGTTGAATCTCAGTCTGCTTTGAACTTTCAATTGCATTTCTCCAACAGCCCCTAAGTTGCCCAGACTGAATCTCTCAAATGCCTATGATGGTGTCAATGTCGAAGTGCTAAGAGTGCGGACTGGGCTCTTTTCGTACTGCGCCCAAGGAACCCGACACATCAGCGAGGGACCAGGCATTGACCTCCTTGATCATAGCGACTCAAACTGATGAAGTTGAATACTTTGAGACCACATCGTCTTTAGAGGATATATATATATATATGGTTATAGGGTCGATCCATCTGGGATGTTTATTTGTTTCAAATTTCTATAACAGATATACAAACAGTATTATGAGTAACTCAGACTTGCAAAGCCAAATGACGTGGCTGGTTGCCATGTGTTTGTTTTTCACTTGAGTTTCTTGAAGCTGCTAAGAGTGCCCATTGCCATCCATTGCCCCACTACTCGGACCCTAACGAATCCACCAAAGTTCTGTGAAGTTTCGCTGCTAGTTGCTGATCGTGCTTTGTTGTGTTTTCTGGCATAAGCGTTTCCCGGGATTTGTGGACCAAAAGAATGCGCCGGTCCATGACTTGTTGGCTTCTTGGGACTTACTATAGTTCCTTTTGGTTTGGCCTTTGGCCACAGATGCTTGAAGTTCCCCGTTTGGAGAGTTCATTTGGGAAGAAAAAAGACCTGAGGCCGACTTCATCAATTGAAGCAGATGGCAGGGGGCGACATACAAATTGCCTTCCAGGCCTTTCCAAATCGGGTTTCAGGTTCGGGCTGGGCCTTTTGATCGCGTCACTAGATCGACGAGTTGTGTGGATTTTTAGTTTGTATTTTGCGATGCTTTTCGCTTTTCCTAGCGTTCTCAGAAAGATGTTGAACATGTCGATCGTAGATGTTCAACCCAAACAACGCTAAGAAACCTGTAGATTCTGCTGTGTTGCTTTCTAGCTGCTAACTATAGTGCTAACTGGGCCGCTGAGAAGTCGCTGCGAAATCGATGACAAAACGGCTAGAAAGTCCTTGTAAAAGCATATTGAACAGCAAGCTGCAAGCTACATGTGTATGTCCACGGGGATCTATCAGACCTGTTGTAGTTTGGGTGTTTCATCATGACCTGAAAAGGAGTTCTTCTTCACTCAGGAGTTACATCTCGATCGCGCGGACCTTCACTCAGGTGGTCCAAGAAGTCGATCGAAAGGTCGAATTTCGATGTGGCAAAGATGGGTTTCTTGATTTAGTGCATGTGTGCTGTCATTTCGAAAGGTTGACATAAGGCCTATGCCACTGAGAGCCTCATTTCCTATCAACTACCATGTGTGTGCTGAAGGAAGCCGTCCACATGTTCACAGAAAGAGGGGCTGGCTCCGAAGTTGCAGGTGTCCACGAGTGCGGCGCGAGGAAACGGTTTGTTTGGTTCCTTTTGTTCTGACTTGAGTTGAGGTCCGGTGTTGGCTTTTCCAGCTGTGAAGGAGTGCCACACCTTCCTCCGCCTTCCCCTCCCACCCACGCACCACGACCGCCTTGCCAGACTCGACCAGATCACAGCAACCCTGTGGCCGTGGTCAAAGGTCCGAAGGCGCAACGGAACTCGGTGGCGCGCGGTGCCGGGTCTCGGGTCTCTTTCGCTCGGTGGCCCTCAGAATCGGTGCTCGGGCTGTTGCGTGTTCGGCCGGGGGTCGGAGCTTCTCCACCCACCGTTTTGCACGCAGGGGGGACGATTCAGGGCTCTCCAAAGCCCCCCCTATGTGTGGCGGAACGGGCCCGGATTCTTCGGGTGGCCCCTGAGTGCGCTGAGGTGGTTTGGACACCCCGGTGCGAGATCGGCGTTTTGGACCACTGCGGTGCGGGATTGGACGAAGACTCGTCTCCATGCACAGACTCGGGACGAAGTTCGGAGACTGGGTTTCGGAGCCGAAAAAAGCACGAAACACATGTGAAAAGTATATCAGTTGAGTCCGGCCACCCCCCTGTAACTCTGCAAAAAGGTTTCTTTATTAAGACAACCAGCGAAAATTAGCACCAGGAAATCCTAGATAATTCATCGTTACCTGGGGCCTCTCCAAATGGATTTTGAATATGCTAACCCCTCCACTCCTCTCCTGCCCCTCCTGCCCTTTCTTCCACTTCTTCCCCTCCACTCTCTTCTCCTTTCCTCTCCTCTCCTCTCCTCCTCTCCTCCTCTCCTCTCCTCTGTTCTCCTTCCCTCCTCTGCCCTCTCCACCACCACCAGCACCAGCACCACACCAGCACCAGCACCACAGCAGCCATCACCACCACCACCACCACCACCAGCACCCCCAGCACCAAACAGCAGCCCCAGCAGCGGCCACCACCACCAGCCCCAGCAGCCGCCACCAGCAGCAGCAGCAGCAGCAGCAGCAGCGCCACCAGCACCACCACCAGCACCACCAGCACCAGCGCCAACAACCCAGCACCCAGCCCCAGCCCCAGCCAGCCCCAGCCAGCCGCAGCACCAGACCAACACCAGCCCCAGCCGCCACAGTCTACATGTTCATTGCTGGATTTGACATATCTATATAAGTGAAATATTTTCATGTGACAATCTAGCACACCAATCACTAGAAGCAACGGTTCGAAAAGACCGGCCGCGGAACAGAAGTGGAGGTCACGATTCCAACCTCCTGTTGCTTGCAGGTTAGACAGAGGCCAAGACGAAACCAAATCTTCACAAAACCCTATAAACCCTAAGCCCTAAACCCTAACAGCTGCTTGGCCGACGAAATGGGCCACCAGATTTGACGACATTTAGCACCAGAAAAAGCACAATTGGAAGCACAAAAACAGGCACCAGATTTGACGAAATTTAGTACCAGAAAAAGCACAATTGGAAACACAAAAAAGAGCACCAGATTTGACGAAATTTAGCACCGGAAAAAGCACCAGGAAAGCGCCAGAAACTGCACAGGCGGCCACGACAAAGTCAAACGCTGCTGAGGCCAAGTGCTCCGAGCGATCTGCTTTTGGCTCGCAGGTTCATTCTGGACGCGCGAAATTTAGCACCAGATTTGACGAAATTTAGCACCAGAAAAAGCACAACTGGAAGCACAAAAAAGCACCAGATTTGACAAAATTTAGCACCAGATTTGACGAAATTTACCACCAGAAAAAGCACAACTGGATGCACAAAATTTAGCACCAGCTTTGACGAAATTTAGCACCAGATTTGACGAAATTTAGCACCAGAAAAAGCACAACTGGGAGCACAAAAAATAGCACCAGATTTGACGAAATCTAGCACAAGAAAAAACACAAGGGAAAGGCTAGAAACGCAAGCGTTGCCAGGACCCAGCCGCCAGAGCCGTGCCCCGGTTTGGCGCCCCGGTCCCCAGGGCCCAGCCCCACGAAAGCCGTTACAGGGAAGGCCGAGCCCCGGTTCCGCGCGCCGGCTCGCAGGGTCCAGCCCCATGAAAGCAGTTAAAGGAAAAGCGGCCCGCCCAATTCCAGAGGACCCAGCCTCACGAAAGCATTTGAAGGAAGAACCCAGCCCCAATTCTCACAGGGCCCCCACGAAAACATTTAAAAGGAAAAAATGAGCCCACAGGACCAGCCCCACGAAAGCATTTAAAGGCAAACCGGCGTCCCAATTCCCACAGGACCCGGCTCGCGAAAGCGCTCGCAGGAAAAGCAGCGCCCCCGTTTCCAATGGCCAGCCCCACAAAAGCATTTGAAAAGGAAAAGCTGTCGGCTTGCCCACAGGACCCAGCCCCACGAAAGCATTTAAAGGCAAAGCGGCGCCCCCGTCCCCACAGGACCCGGCCCCACGAAAGCATTTGCAGGGAATAGCGCCGCCCCGGATGCGCCCCAATTCCCACAGGACCCGGCGCCACGAAAGCATTTACAGGGAATAGCAGCACCCGGTTGCCCGGGCCGCCCCACGAAATCATTTTAAAAGAAAAACCGTCGTATTGCCCACACAACCCAGCCCCACGAAAGCATTTAAAGACAAAGCACATCCCAATTCCCACAGGACCGAAACAACTACTACTATAGACTAACACCACTTGACCTATTTAATGCTACTTGAGGTATATCTTTTTTCACAACCTACTGATGTGTTGCTTGATGGAAGGGTTTTGTGACTTCCCATGGCTTCACCGGGCAGGAGGGCCCATAGATGAGAGTGAAAAAAGGAGTTCCTGTGGTGAGCGTGCCATCCAATTGGATCTAAAGGTTTTTTAAAGCATTTTTCTGGTGCTAATTTTTGTGCATCCAGTTGTGGTCTCTGTTACAGCGCCGCGGCCATGCACAATATATCAGAGTTATATGAGGCTTCCTCCCGCCAGTTAGATGCATGGATTCTTTTGTCTTGAGACCGCTGTTTGGTGGATGGAGGCATCGACACAGATGGCCGCTTTCAGGTTTGTTTGACTGATCCGATACGAATTGTAAGATATGTAAGTTTGTTTTCCACATGCACCCGGCCGGACGCCTTGAGTTGTTTTCAGTCGACGGCCACCAACTCATTGGTGGCGTCCCGGAGGTTCCGCAAGATCGTCCGGATCTTTGGACCACGCGTCCGTCTTCCTTTCCAGGCACACGCCAGTTTGGCTGCCATCTTGGTGATGCAGGACCGACATGTGGAACGTTCATGCGGGTTCAGGATGGTTCAGGGGTCAATATTGAACACATATTGAAAACATGCACGGGGTTCAGGGGTCAATGTTGAAACATGTTGAACACGTAGACTATTCCCATAAAAGTCCATACATGGATCCAGTTTGGGTATCGCATGGGGTTCAGTTATGCATGTCGATGTACAGTGCAAATGGACGTTGTGTTCATGGCGGGAAACCGTTTCAACCAATTGAAACCGTCTTCCGCTGTTGTGTTCATCCTTCTGGACTGGTAACGGTGTAGTCGAGGAAAGAAGAGGACGTGACCAGACCCCGCCTGAGAGTTGAACATGCAAGACTGGCTCCTTGGAGCACGTTGGGATGGCAGTGCCAGCATGTTGCAAGGTCCAGAAAAGACCACTGTAATTCGTTCTCCCTTGCAGAGGCATTGAGCCGGTCCTTTTGTATAGTTGTTTCATGTTTTTTTCGTTCTGGCCCTGCACATGTCCCTCGGCCAGTTTCTTGAGTGCTAAATGTTGAGAACATGTGCCAGCACGGGGAGCCCCATCCAACCAATTAATTGGTTTATTTTTTCAGGACCTTCACCCCAAAACCAGCCAGGTAACCACCTGCAGGATACCACCCGACTATGATACCCGGTTTGTTCTGTCAACCATCGGTCAGGCCCACACCCGACCGGCACCTTCGTGCCCGACAACCCGTGCACGACCCGTGTGGTGGACGACCCGTGGAGAGCTGCAGGAGCTGTGTGACCTCATCCAGATCCCCGTGTGAGCAGGCGTTTGTCGGGATGAGAGGAGAGGGAGACGAGACGAGATCGCGAAGAAACGCGAATGCGTCCTGTGGAGGCCCTGTCGCCCAAAGCGTCTCTTCCTGTTGCAACACTGGCAGTGCTTCTAGGGCTAGAATCAATATACCGTAAGAAAACTGGTGAAATCGGGTGCCAGATGCTTCACATGTCTGTTCTTTTTTCTTCGAAGGCGAAACCATTTCGATGGATGATCATGGCCGCCATGGCCTTCACCAAGACGAGTGGTTTCTTTCTTTTTCTTCACAAGAACCGACCGCTATATACGGGGACCGCTATATGCGGGGACCGCTACGTACGGCGTGCGCGGAGTCTGGTCGCGGCGATCGATCACGCGGACAAACACTCTATAGCGACTGCCCTTTTTGTTGCCCTGTGATGTGCGTAATTAAGAGGCCTTGTTGTGTGGAATGCTAAGTAGTCTCGGTCAAGATGCGGGGATGTTTGATCTGCTTTGATGACAGATTTGTGAATTTCTAGATCGGATTCCAAGGGGGACAGGTTTGAGGTCGTTTTTGCATGTTTTTGCCTCGTGCAACCTTGCAAAGAATCATTCTAAGCCTTGAGGCGCATCCAGATACTGGGCTTGCAGGCCGCTTTGTGGGGACCATCTCATCCAGATGACTAGAACATACATAATATGTGATCGCCACTCCAAGAAAGACCTGCAAAGTCGTGAGCAAAACCTGGAATTTATGAAGGCAACATCATACCAGTGGGTATGTATAATATATGTTTTAAAAAATAACACAATGTTTTTTGTTCCTTGTGTTGACCTCAAGTGAAGAAGTTGGAACAGTACAGACCTTGCTATGAATACAATTTGATGGTAGTAGATCTGTTTGAAACATCTCTCGCATGGTTCATGTTTGCTTGGAAGAGCCTTGCTCAAACACAAACAAACAGTCTATAATGATCCATAATGAAACTTAATAGCAGATCCTTGTCTCATCTTTGTCGGGAAGGGGTGTCCCACCTTTGATTTCGAGTTTGCTTTGTGTTGACATGTTTGACTATCAATGAGTTTACATGAGTTTACCATTCATCCATCCTTTGCTTCAGACTCCATGCCTCACCACCACTCCGCGGACCGGCACACAGGTTCACTTGGGACGCACGGCTGAGGGCCAACTGCCGACCCAAATCGAACCAAAAGTCGGGTTGGTGGCACCGGTCGAAAGAGACCCAGCTTCCATGGGTTGACAGATGTGTCATTCAGATTCAATGTGATCATGACATAAGTGACCATTGCACAAACGCATGTTCAATCATTTTCACTCTGCTAAGCGCACGAACCAATGGCAGTGCCACGAGAGCAACACGTTCACTTCACATGCCACGTGAGCTCGGCTTCAGTCAGCGATCCACGCGAGCTTCGGTCAGCGGTGTTCGCCGGATTCGCCCGGCGCGACCGCAGAGTTGGACGTGGAACGGCAGAAAGAGCTCTGTGCTGATGACTATCTCCAGTCTCCAGTCGTCGCAGGCCGCCAGGCCTTTCAAAAGACATATAAATACGGGAAGACGGGATATGCTGATTCTGATTCTCCACCTTTTACCTTGGGATGATTGAACCCACTGACTCATATTTTGCGTTCATGAGTTGAAACTACCAAAGATATCTAAAGATAATTCTATACCAGCACCCTCCAACAGGTCACCACCTGACACGTTTAAGTATCCAAAAGCTACCAGAGGAGACCTGTTGGAGGGTGCTGGTATAGAAGAAATTATGTAATGGTTATTAAGAGTTGATCAACATAGATTCGATTTGGGAGCCAGCGCCAAAACTTATTCCGAACACTTCCTGCTTTTGTTCTTGTTTCGATCTTTAGATCGCACAATGCAAGTCATGTTTGTTTGTGGCGTCTCGGTGGGGGCGTCTCTGGGGGTGTCTCGTCCCGCCCAAGCGCCCGCTGGTCGTGGACTCATGGCTCAAGTGTTCGAGCCACACATGGAACACGGCCAGGCCCGGCAACGGCCAGGGGCCAGGGCCCAAGTCATTCGTGAACACAGAGGACCAATGATATATTGCAGCTGTAGACGTGAAGTCCGTCCGGTGTCCACCATGTTTCAGAGGTGAAAAGGCTATTTTGGGGGGTCCAGCCAATCCTTTGGAGTCGTTCTATTTTTGGGGCTGGATTCGACCATGCCAGTGCAGCACGGACCGGTGACCTGTGGTTGGTTGTTGGCGAACGTGTCACCTGTCGGTGATCGCTTGGTTGGATGCTCATTTTGCTTTGGCGGGTGAAAGTCAGCCCGAGATCATCGGTAGACATGCCCACCATGCAGGCCCTTTTTGCCATGCCCCACGTGAAAGCCCTTCTCGCCCCAGGCGTCATGGAGGGGCAGCGCGCCAGTTATGGGGCGCAGATCCTCGGCTGAAGAGATCATGTCGAGTTAGACAGTTGCAGGATGTTGCTGGCAGACTGGCAAAGCAACTATAAATCCTTTGGTGGAAGGAAAGGCAAAGATTAAAGCATGATGAAGCTCTATGTTGGTTGGCCCTTCAGGCATACCTGAGATCTTAGCAAAATCAGAACCTCCAGGGAGACCTGACAAGAAAACTGCATATATAAAACTGCGGCAGCCAGGGTGTTCTTAGGTGGTGAGTGCAGCCAGCAGGGATTTTATCCTCAATGAGGTTAATATAGGACTAACCATCGGGTCGTTGCACTGTCCTGAATTCATGGCAGACTAGTCTAGAATCTTACTGACACGGTCAGGTGCGGCAGGTGGGAGCATTCTAGAGATAAGCTGGACGTTTTCACAGCGGGTAGCCCATGGGCTTGTTGGCACCGGACAAGACAAAGTCAAGAGTGAGGACTAAGAAGTGCAATATGATTCTTCCAGCTAAACAAAACAACCTTTGTCAACATGTCATACCAAGTTACGTATGACAATGATGGGTGCTTCCTAGGCCCGATTCTTGACATGAGCCCATGTGATGGACCAGGTGATGGACATCATCCGAAGTTGGGATCCTGACATAACCTGAGCTGTGTCCTAAATCGATCTCCCATTCCATCCACGTAATGTAGACTGATTCATTAAACCTCCCTACCTTGAAGAGGTTTTGCAGTCCAAATGCTCATTTTGAGGGTGGGTCTTATTCATCGACCTAGTTTTCCTTCAGGTGATGTTGATATTTTCCCTATATACATATACAATCATATACACTATATGGGCCCTGTACATCCCCCCTTCTGGTATATATTCTTTCCCAGGTTAAAGCAAATCCAAGTCGAAACATTTAGCCTTGAACATATCTATCAAAAAAAAAACAAAAACCAAACCTTCACAAGTTCTGGTGATCCATTTTTGCCATGTTCCCATCACCAGAACCCTCACCCTGGACCCTTCACGCCTTCATTGAACCAGCGTTGGCTCCGCGACGCGAGGCACGTCCCGGGTCTCACGGACCGGGGGCTTTCCGAGGGCGCTGTTGGGCGGGAGGGAGACGAAGGCTTCGGGGATCTGAGACTGGGGACCTATTTGGATTTGATTGAGTTTTGTATAATATAGTTAGTCTTTGTTGGTATTTATTTTTCTTTGTTGCTTTTTCTTTGTTTTCTTGTTGTTCTTTGTTTTCTGTGTTTTCGGAAGTGAAGGGAGTTTCAAGCTGGTGGATTTTGCTGTTCCTTGTGCATGGACTGGGGACACCCAAATGACACATTGGATTGATAGACCGTGCTTGCGATTCGATTCTTTTTGGTGGCTGTTTCACTCTATATTCTGGGCCGAGTCAGCTCACTTTTTGAGGTACAGATGCCTTAAACCTACGCAGAAGACTCCGACGTACGTCAAATCCGCAATTCCCGATGCCTGACAGCATGGACAGCCCATGACAGCCCTAGGCCGGTCAAGATTGATTGATTGATTCTTGATTCTCAATCGATTCTCAGTGCCTGTGGTGGATCCCTTTCTCTTGGTCAATCCCGGACGTGAAGGAATCAGGTGTTACCCGCTTGCACACCCGACCTTCCTTGCAGTCAGACGCTCGCTCGAAAGCACCCAACGCTCGGAGGACCAACGCTTCGAGGGGCAAATTGTGAGGTATTTGCCCGACAAGGGCTACGGCTTCATCAGGCCGTCGATCGGTCGATCGGTCGTCCTCGGACGAAGGAATCCAGGAAAACCATGGAGTTCTGGGACCCCCCCGGCGTGCCAGTAGTTTGTTTTGATGCGAGTGTTGAGAGCGGTTTAGTTGTAAAACATGCATTTTGATTGCATTTAAAATGTCAAACATATTCAATTCAATAAGAAGAAGGCACGCTTTGTTTAAGTTCATCATACCGTTTGGGTGAAAGGAGAGTCAGGTACGGTATTTCCATATTTCCTGGTCATTTGGAGAGAGAGAGAGAGAGCTCATTTGCGTGAGGATATACCTGGAACTTTCCAAAGATCCAGCAAAACAGGCCAAGCTGCCAGAATCATCCAGAATTGCCGTGGAACCTGTTTTCTGTCAGAACTGGGCCCCTGGAAAGCCTACATTGAGTCTTGGGATTTGATTGGGAAAGTTGCAAAGACGGCGGTTTTTCTGGATGGATTCTCTTAGTGTGGAGGGCAGTGCAGCACAGGGCACTGCACCTCAAACCTCAAACACCTACAGTAATGTAGACTTTTGATCGACCCTCTCTCATTGGGATAGATAGAACCCACTTCAAATGAAGGGGTACAAATCAAGAGTCTACGTCTACGTCATAGACGAAACCATATTGAAACCATATACATATGATATGTATATATTATATATGTATGCCCACTTAATACAGGCCCCACTGTAAATGCCAACTCCTTCGCCATTCGACCTGTGGACGCTGACTGAAGCGACCTGTGGACGCGAGACCAGGTGTCAAGAGTTGCGACAAAGTCGCTATCCCGACCGGGCGCGGGTGGCCTAGCCCGACCGAGACGAGGAGAGACCGGCCAGCCGACGGGTGAGCCTGGGTGACCGTCCAGGACCCCTTTTGCAAGCTACACCGGTGAAGGAGTCCAGGAAACAGAATACAAACACCTTCGCCTTTATCTAACACAGGGCTATTTGATGTTATTTGGTGTTCGCTGTTTTATTGGAACCTGGCTGCACTTGAGGAACTTGTCACTGCTGTTGTGTTTCTGCAAACTTGCAAGAACCATTTCATGAGTTTCCGACCCTTGTGGCTTGTGGAGGGTTTATCCTGCCCCTCGTGCCTACCTGGCATGGACTAGGTTAGATTCCAAGGAAGAGGTTGATCCACTTCACAATAAGGTGAACAGCGCCTTGCCTTGTGAAGTGGGTAGATTTCGACCACCACATTTGTGAGATTCTTTGGGTGTTTTCAACAGTGTCACATGTTTGTTCACCTCTCTTTGTTTGCATCTATTTACAGGATGACCATGCCAACCACAGAACACACCGGATCACGATGTTGTTGGACCATGCTGGAGAGAAGGACCAGACTCAAACATCATCCACGCAGTGTCCCTCCATTCAGATTGTGGCATTTGTTCCATCCTCAGAAGGCATACGTTCATGTTCTCACAAGGTCTCTCCAGTGTGTGTGCGTGTGTGTGTGTGTGTGTGTGTGTGTGTGTGTGTGTGTGTGTGTGTGTGTGTGTTTTGGACACCCCCAACCAAAATATCATACACAATCATGATCATGATTGGTTACAATGATACAACTATGATGATTTAGTAAAACACACATATAGAATCATATATATACATATCGATGTGATGTTCTGCTGTGTTTTTTGAATGTTTTCGGTGCACCGAGCCATCAGGATATATTTCTGCATCAGAAGCAGCTGGGGAACTTCAAAGAGGGCGACGCCGTGAGCTTCGGGGCCCGGTGCCCCACACCGGGGCCCGACCGACACACGTTCACCACCGGAGAATGGCGTCCAAGGGGCCATGGATATCGGTGGAAAGTTGGAAGGATGGATGCCGAGTGTCTTGGGGTGTTTAGATTCATAGCTTTAGCTCCTTGAGTCTAAGTCAGAACCCCCCCCAACGTGGGTCTTGGTGATGAGATTTGCTGACGTTTTGATGATAATCATGGGAATCAAAGTTGAGGGGTATTGATGATGTGGTGATGGCTGATGGCTCCGTTTAGGTTGAACCTCCTGATTCAGGAAATCGAAATACCCCGCCAGAATCCTCCGGGGGAACTGGAGGGTTCTGATGACGAAGGAACTGGTGACGAAGGCGAAGGCTTTATTGCTCAATCTGACATTCCAAATCCCATTGGTTTGGAAGTCGGTTTACTTCAACAGCCTGGAACTGTTGCTTACTGCTCAATCGCAAGCTTGATCGCAACCAACACCAAGTGAAGTCTCCAGTCTAGACCATGCTCGGTATATAACATATACACAAAGCATATGACTAATTCATTGATCACAAACCTCAACTTCGGATTCACCGAGCGAAGACGCAAGTCACCTGTCCTCCGCCGGTTTTGGTCGAACACCGGGACCAGATCCTGCTGAATCGCGACGGCAAGCCCACGGCCACCGAGCCGGAGCCCAAAGACTGCACAGCTGGGTCATCTTTTGGTTTTGTTGGCTCCTTTACTACTAGTAACAAGTGGCTTACTACTAGTAACAAGAAGCTAGTAGAAACAAATAGAAACAATAACTATAATTAAGTTTAAATTACAATTAACAGCCGGGTCGTCTGAGGGGGTTCGGGGGGTTCTTGATATATAGGAGATAGTTGGATTATGTTGGATTGATAATGGGAGATATTATATTGGGAGATATTATATTGGGTCTCGAAGTCTTGGATTCTGAGCCATGGCCCATGCGGGCCCCCAAGCGGGCGTGACCCGGCAGCCGGGGACACCGGTCGGGTCGGAACGCCCGCGGCGCTCTGCCGCGTCTGCGTCCGCCTCGACCGGCCCTGCTGCCGCCGCTGCTGCTGCAGTGGATGTGCCGATGCCTGATGCTGAGGTGGACGATGACATGGGGCAGGTGGAGCATTGCCCGGTGTCGTCCTGCCACGCCAGCCGGGCTGACCTTCATGCAGGTTGGCAAAGCCTTGGCTCCCTTCGAGTGCATGTGGATGCCCATCTTCTGGGGGCCCTGCCGGGCATGCCACCCCAGGAGTGGCTGCAGCGTCACAACCTGGCCATCTGTCCGAAGCTGTGCAGGCCCCGCTGCTGCGCCTTTGGTGCTTGGAGGCAGCCCGGACGTGCCTCGCCTTCTCGGCGAGCTTCCGGACTGGGATGAAATCTGCCTTGCGCCGGTGGACACGCGGGACACCTTGGGGGCTGGGATCTTGCCGAAGGCCAGCAAAGCCTTCCTTCAATGTGTCGCTGGAGTCCTTCTGCACCACCGCCCTGATGCTTGGTCCGTGGTGCGTTCTGGGACCGACACGCTGGCGCATCAACGGGCCCGCCTGGCTTGGACTGAGCTCTGGATGTTCCCCAAGGCCTGTCTGGCGGTTCTTCCCGGCGGCGCCGCCAAGCAAAAGAGGAATGGGAATATTTTGGCCAATCGCCTGGAGCGATGGCTCGCGGGGGAACGCCGCACCCTTTGGGATGAGGCGACTCGGGGGGGGCCGGCCTGGACGTCGCCCTCGCCGTGGTGATGCCGAGGATGCCGATGCCGCCGCGCAGCGTCTCCGGCAGGCTGCTGACAGCTTTGCCCGTCGGGGGCTCCCTGGGCAAGCGGTGCAACGCCTTTGCAGTGAAGGCCTTGCTCCAGACACCGCCCACACTGAGGGCATTATGCGCTCCAAGTTCCCTGCTGCGCCCGCCCAGCAGCACGCTTCTCGCCGACTGCCGGCGGCTGATGCCAATGAGCTCGGTGAAGAACAGGTGCTCGCTGCGCTTCGCAGCTTTAAGAAAGGGGTGGCTGCCGGACCCAGCGGGCTGCGCCCTGACTTTCTGCGGCAGCTCGCTTGTGATGGGCCGGATGCTCGTGCCTTCACGACTGTGCTGACTGGTCTAGTGAATTTGTTGGCTGGTGGGGGCGCGCCTGTGGAGCTCCAACCTTACCTTGCCGGTGCCAAAGGCACTGCCTTGAAGAAGACGACTAAGTCTGGCGAGCCGGACGCTCGCCCCATTTGTTCGGGGGAGGCTCTACGCCGCTTGGTCGGGAAGGCGCTGCTGCGCACTGAGATGGACACTTTGCGGGAACACTTGCTGCCTTGCCAGCTTGCCGTTGGTGTGCCAGCTGGGGCTGAGGTCATGCCCCACCTGGCGAGGCAGTGGTGGCGGCACTATGAGCAGGACACCTCCCGTATTCTCCTCACCTACGATGAAGGCAATGCTCACAATGTGGTTGACAGACACACGTTCCTTACTCGGATGCGTGAGGTCTGCCCTGGCTTGAGCCGGTGGCTCGAATACATATACCCCACAGCTCATCCCACCAAGGTCTTCTACAATGGGCGCATCCTGGATTCTGCTGCTGGCGGGCAGCAGGGCTGCCCGCTGATGATGGCTTGCCATGGTGTGGTGCAGCGGTTGCTGCTCGAAAGTATCGGGGTCCTGCCAGTGCTTCCAGGATCGGCGGTTTCGGTGCCCCTCCTGGATCCACCCGCGCGCCTCGACATGGCGCCCTGCTATGCGGATGATGGCATACTTGCTGGGCCCGCTGGGGAAGTTCTTCGCGCCCTGCGGCACATGCAGCAGGTGATGCCCTCTTTGGGCCTCACCTTCTCGTCTCTGGAAGTTGCGGCCCCCGCCGGGGCCAACCACACGGTTGACTGGGCCCCCTTCGTGGCTGCCGGATGTTCCGTCAGCCCTTCCGGTGGGGCCGACATCCTCAAATGTCCAGTTGGGCCTGCGGCCTTTTGTGAAGGGTTCGCTTTGACGCGGGCCACCAAGCACAGCAAGGCTGTGCTGGAGGTTGCCAATTTGCCCGACCCGCAGGTCGCTTCGTACCTGTTGCATTGGTCCTGCAACTCTTCCAGGATGATTCACATGGCTCGCACCACCCCCCCTGCAGCTTTGCCGGGGAGGCGTGGCCCACTTCGATGATGCTGTGGTTCGCTCCTTCGGCCGCATTTCTGGCCTGGTTCTCTCTGACCAACAGCGCGCCCAAGCCGCACTACCTCTTCGTCATGGTGGTTGTGGACTTCGCTCTGCTGAATCTGTGGCTGATGCGGCCTACATTGGTTCCCGGGCCCAGACCCACCAGCTGTGCCTTGACAATTGGCCACTTTTCCATTGGGATGTAGCCCATCCGGGCAGCCCCCCTGGATACTGCAAGTTGCCGGTTGAATGCACACCTGCAGCGTGGTGGGATTGCCACCTTGGTCAATGTTGGGGAGCCTGACCGTGCCCTGACCCAGCGGAAGCTCAGCCGTTTGTGTGAAGCTGCAACCTTGGCCCTCTGGAAACAAGCCGCTCCCCCTGATGACGTTTGTCGACTTCATTCCTACTCTGCCCCTTTGGCGGGCCACCTCTTTGAGACAGTTCCTTCTCGAGCACTTGACTTACACCTCTCACCAGCCGAGTTCACCACGTGTGTGGCCTCCCGCTTGGGTGTCGATGCTTGCGATGGTACTCTGCCTTGTGGGATGTGTGGTCTTCCTATGGATCGCTTGGGCCGCCATGCGCTCTCCTGCATGGCTGGTGGTGATGCCATCTTGGTACACAACACTGTGAGACATGTTGTACAGGACTATTGTGAACGAGCTGGTATGCGGCCTACAGCTGAGGCCCCTGGGGTCCTTCAGGATCTTGCCATCCCTGAAGGCCGTCGCCGGCCTGCTGACCTCCTGGTGTGCCATGGGGCCGGCCTTGCCGACCGGCTGCCTGATGGAAGCCAACCACACCATTTGCCGCAGACAGCCTTGGACATTGCCGTGATCAACGCCACTGGGCCGTCCCACTGGCCAAAGACCTTTGAATCGCCTGGGGCTGCTTCGAGTGCCTACGCCACCAGCAAACGTGCTCACCAACAGACGGCAGCCAAGTGTGCCGCGGCAGGCGTCTTCTACCAGCCCCTAGTTTTTGAAGCCCAGGGAGGGCTCTGCAGTGAAACTGGCAGTGTGTTGCATGCTCTTGCTCGTCGGGTTGGCGCCGCTGAGGAGTGCGACTCCGAGCTGGTGTTCGCCGACATGGTTCGCAAGATTGCCATTGTTCTCTGCCGCGCTGCGGCCCGCTCCCTGCAGCGCCGGCGGCGGACCTGGTTCCGGTCTCCTGGCACACCGGCCTCGGCTGCTGCCGTGGCCGCTGTGGCGAGCTGATCGCCCTTCACTGGTGTGACGAATTGTTTTGGCTGGGTTGTTGCACTCCTGCCCTGGTGCCCTGGTCCTGGTCGCGTTGTGGTGCATGGTTTGCGCTCTTGGTGGGTGGCCTCTGAAGGGTGTCACCGAGCAGACGGAGTTGCTCATCCTGCTGGAACAGCTGCTGCCGTCCTCTGAGGGTGTTCCGCCTTTTGAACTTTGAGATTTAGCTAGGCAGGATTTCACCGGTGACCAAGCATATCGAATCATCCAAGCATTTGCAGCTTGAGTCACAGACGACAGATCATGACAGTTTGTCTAGTTTTCTATCCTATGCTGCAGCCTTTGCTGCAGGAGTTCCTTTTAGCTTGTCATGTTGCGCTCCCTACTGTCACAGCAACGGTTTGTGGAGCGCATGCAAGTTGGTACTTGGTTGGTGTCGCACCCACCAACATTTCCAGAGCTGAATGTACAGCCCCACATCCCACGGTTTCACCATACTATACTCGCCTGGAGATGTCCGTGGTAAGTTTGGGGTGCGTTTGTGCAGTTCCTAGACACTCGATCTATGGAATATTTACAATCCTATCATATATATATATATAATCCGTTGTAATCCTATATAACTACATTGAGGTGGTTTTCAGTGTCAATGTAGGGCCTACATTGTAGGCAACATTCCATATGATATTAACTAATCTGAGTGTTTGGGGTTGGATGCCATGGATCCAATCTCCTTCTAGAACGACTCCACCACATTCGACCCAACGAAGACACGACCAGAACTTACTGGCCGCTGGAGCAGGGCGGCGAGTAAGTTGGAGCAGGGCGGCTCCACCGATGTTCCGAGCAGAGCGCAGCAGCCCAGCTGCTGCTGCCTTCGGCATTTCTTCGACCTTTCGGTGTGCTATTTTGCATCAATTCAGCCTGAGCCTGATCCGTTGAGCGTGTTACGGCGTAGTCCGTGTTACGGTAAACAGGTCACATCCAAAATGATCGGCCACAACTATTTCAGGCTGTGTGCTTGCCGTGTCTTCCATTGTCCCCTATAACCATAAAACACGACCCAAACTTGCTGTGCGTAGGTCGGTCAATTGTTTACTCCTCATCGGTGCAGACACACGTGGTCGGTTCATTGTTGGCGTTCCCAAACGGGGCGAGATGGAGCGCGGTAGACTGCTGACACGGGTCCCAACGGGTCATGAAGACCAGGTCGGTACCAACGGGCGACTCAAGGAGCGACCCAAGGAGTGGTGAGAAACAGATGGTTCAAAGAGCGTCCTAGGTTGGTGGACTGGGTGAAGGCTGAAGGTGTTGACCCACAGCCAGATCGATGATATCATTGGGTTCCATTGTGCAGAAAACATCGGGCTTGAAGTGCAAGGGATAATCAATGCGTACACCATCTTGGGCGCCCTCCGCGTCTGGCACTCCATCCAAGTGTTTCACATGTTCAGATAGCTGACTCTGAAATGCACGACTGCTGCCTGCTGCATGTGAAAGTATCTTGAAGCACACCTTCACACCACCTAACCTGCCAAACTCCATAGCGGCTGGGGTCAGACAGCTGCCATGTCAACTGCATTAGGGCCATGGTTGGGGCATATGATCGGGATGGCGTGTCTTCTTGCACCATGTCAGCTTTTGCTTTCTGATCTTCTATAGTTTCAACCCCCAGTGCATCAAGAGCCAATGAATCAAGAGCACTGAAGTTTCCCAAGTCTTCCATGGACGTGATGGGGACTAGCGGTACTCTTCCACTGCATTTGTGTAATGTGGCTGTCGCGTACTCAAAAGTCACTAACCCATCGACCCCGCACTGTACCGGAGCAAGACACATGCCTGAAGTACACCGACATCATTTTATTTCCCAACCCGCCAACTGGGCCACACCTCGCCCAAGCAGTTGAGAAACCGTGACTTGCGAGCACGTATGGTGTGGACACGATTTTTGTCCACTTCCGTGCGACAAGTTGCCGGGCGGGCGGGAGCAAGGAATTTAGCCAAGCACTGAGCAAAACGGCTTAGCGAAGCATCAAGCCCTACCACACCGTCAAAGGCTAGACAAACGGTTCGGCAACAGAGCCACCGAAATGAATCAATATGCGTGGCCAGGTGAGCAAGCAATCTTTCCATGCGAGGAACCGATGTTGTTGCATTTGTCGGCCAAATGCTTAATCAGCATTACCGAACATATTTGCAGAGTCAACAAAGTATATGTCCGAGAACAATGTTTGTCACAAAAGCTAGAATGCTAGCTGAGCTCTTCTTTGCTTTCGCAATGTATTGGGATGGGCTGCGTGCCTTAAGGATTGATATATCAAGCTAACCCCCCGCGGTTCGACTCCCAGCTGCGCCTCTTGAGGGGATCGATGCATATTCTTTCTACCAGCTACCTTTTGAACCTTTTAAAGATATTATTGCTAGCACAGCTCCGTCTGCCCTCTGCAGCGCCAGCAAAATTGTGTGAATGTTTAAATAATTCTATATCATTCCTCCATGCGTTTCCTGCTTTGTGGTGGCTGCTGCTGCTGCTGCTGATGGTTGCGGTTGTTGCTGCTTTGCTGCTATGGTTGTGGTTGTTGCTGCTTTGCTGCTATGGTTGTGGTTGTTGCTGATTTGTTGCTAATGTTTGCGATTGTTGCATGCTGCTGCTGCTGCTGCTGCTGCCGCTGCCGCTGCCGCTGCCGCTGCCGCTGCTGCTGCTGCTGCTGCTGCCGCGGCTGCTGCTGCTGCTGCCGCAGCTGCTGCTGCTGCCGCGGCTGCTGCTGCTGCTGCGGCTGCCGCGGCTGCTGCTGCTACTCCTCCTCCTCCTGGTGCCTGCTGCCCCTGCTGCCAGCTGCCTGCTTCCTTGCCTGCTTGCCTGCCTGCCAGCCTGCCTCCCTGCTTGAGTGCTTGCTGCTGGAGTGCTTGCCTGCTTGCCTGCTTGCCTGCTTCCTTCCTTGCCTGCTGGCCTGCCTGCCTGCCTGCTGCCTGCTGCTTGCTGCTGCCTTTGCTGCTGCCTTTGCTGCCTGCTGCTGTCTCTCCTCTATCCCTGCTGGCTGCTGCCCCTGCTGCTGCTTGGTTCTGCTTGTTGGACCTCAACGACCGCAGCGCGGTAGAGAAACCGCCAGTGTGTTTCCGCTAGCCGCTAGCTTTCGACCTCCTCCCTTGGCCTCAAGTTTCAACATTGGTGGTGCAGATTTTGAACATGTTTCGGTTGTGTGACACATCCAAATGTAGGCAAGAACTGGCTAGCATATATTTCTATAGCAAGGGCAGAGAGATTCTTGCGACATTGAATCAATGCACTCACGTCTCATGCGTGAGGCTTGCCTACTTGAACGGTGGCGGCCAGCAACAACAACAGCAGCCGCAGCAGTACCAGCAGCAGTACGACCAGCAGTACCAGCAGCAGTACTCGCAACAGTACCAACAGCAGCCGCAGCAGCAGCAACAGTACGAGCAGCAGTACCAACAACAGTACCAGCAGTACCCACCGCAGTACCAGCAGCAGTCGCAAGACCACTATGGCATGCAGGGCATGCAAGCTTTTGGTCGCGGACTCGGGTGTTCAGCACACATTCTGACACCTTCAATTTGGGACAATGTCATTGCCTTCCTAAGGTGGCCAGGAACAGGCCGCGCAAACAGAGCTGTGTTGGCAGGGCGCAAACAGGATGCAAATACAATGGGCAGGAATTTTACTTCCTATAGTAAATAGTTGTTCAGGTTTTGGGACATGATTCAAAGTGTTTGTTTTTGTCAGCCTTTGAAAAGAAAAAACACGGACAGATTGTCCTTGGCCGCAAAATGACCGCAAATGCAATCGAAAAGACATGAATACAATATTTTTGTCAGATTCAACGAAGGCACCCTTATGTATAAGTGAGGTCACCAGGTTTCAATCCACTTGTGTGTTGTCATGAGACCTGAAATTACCCACTGTATATACATGACGGTAGTATATAATTGATATTTATGTGGAAGTTTTGGTCTGACATAATTGAATGTTTGGAACCGCTCAAGTCACTCAAGCTTGTTGACTATGTGGACTTTGGGCATAGATCTTTTGTCAGAGAAGTGTGCCAAGAGAGTTTGCAAGGGTTTGCACATAAGGATCCGATTGCATCACCCCCCTGGTATTCTGCTATTGCACCGTATTCCATCCATTAGAATAACCTGCCAGGTCCTGAGCCACTGAACAGATTTCCTCAAAAAACACAAAGAGGGATTTGCTGTATCGACTTCATGGGGGGCTATGAGAGACTGACGGATCAATGAATTTCCTCGGTATGGGCAGCGTCGGCACATTGATGCCATAGAGATCGAGTACACGAAGAAACACATCCAATTGCCACTGTTTCTGGAATTTGTTACAAGCAACCATTCCTTCATGTGTTTATCCAAAGCATGGAAACATTGCAATCTTACCTGGCCTTCCTCGAGTTTCTGCTTTTTGGGAGCCTTCTCAGCAATCGGTCGAACTCTCGGCAGCAATCGGTCGAACATATCTTGATTGGAGCAGATGGAGCGGTATACGGTTCATCCTGCCATGTCTGGTGTACTCAAACACTCACGTGCCGGTCTCCCGGGATGTCGGGTGTACGTCCCTCCCCACCGCGCGCCCGCCTGGCCGCCTGGCCGCCGGACACGCCACCTGGCCTCGTGTCCAGGCGGCCGCCTGGGAGCCGCAGGACGGAGCACTTTTTTCCGATGAAATGCTATGATCCATTCACCTAAACACTCCAACAGTGTGGAATATAGTATGAATATATACTTATATTGATATATTATCCATATTTGTATGTATTTCCTTTCTGTTTGGGTGGTCTGAGGAATCAGTGTATATATATATATATGCACCTAAGTCAATAAATAGATATATGTAAAAGTCTCGAAGTCCCTCGGAGCCGTTTTTTTTTCTAGGGTCATGTCTGGCCTTACGACTTGGAGGGTCCAGGTATACCATACATGGAGTGTGATCCTGATCCCGAGGATTTCTCGCCAGCATCCCCTGAGAATTGCACCAACAAGTCTTTTGAAGTCTACCAGTTGTGCAGTAAATTTGGGGATCTGTCTAGACAGGGCACCCAGATAGGATCAGCCTGGTACCTTTCATGTTGTTTGTGATTTTCTCTATGAATCCTATATATTTTACGAGGTGCGGTGATGGCTTTTGCGCAGTGGCGTGAACAAGACTTCTTTGGTGAGAGGCCTTGGAGGCTGACTCCGGGAAACAGTACATAGTATAGATATATGTTCAATGATTGTCATCGCTACTATTAACAAAGGCATTGCTACTAGTAACAAGGGCATTACTAGTCAGAATTATCACACAATTCACAGCTGGTTCAACCACACTGCACTTGGACATGTCATGGGCAAGATGTCAACTTGAGAAGACAACAGATCTTTTGGAAGACAGATCTGATGCTCACGACCAGATCAGAATTGTTCTTCTTTGCCCGGTTCATATAATTACATGTTCCTCCCTCCAATGAGTATCCAAATAGACTATATTTATGATGTACGCTAAAGCTAGTTCTGATGACACAGCAAAACATAAAAACATGCATAAACAATAGTCACTATATACCCTATAGACTCTAGACTAGTCTGTTTCTTCTCCCCGTGTCCGTGCTGCGTGCGTGCCCTGAGGAGGAAGAAGGCACTCACGAAGTGGAAGCCGGGTGGTCCGAGAGACACCACATGGATGACACGACCCGCTCGTCGACCGGGAGTTGGGTCGTGACCGGGGCTGAGGTCGGTCGTGACCACGGTGCACCGCGGTCGCAAATTTTTGAGGACCAGGTCGTCTCCTGGGTGGTTTGGACCCCACAGCCAGATCCTGGTGGATGCCAGTGCACCACGGACAGTTTAGGTGGCCCTAGGTGGCCCTATTTTTTCGGTTCACAGGCAGTTTAGGTGTAGTTAAGTGAGGAGCCGCTGAACCCCCACGCTTGGTCTTGTCGCGGATCAAAAAGCTAAGCCCTTTGTCGCGTAGGCATGCGGCCGACTTTTGTGACACGTAGGGACTTGACCACATGGTGGCCGAAGTTCAAGTGGTGCAGCATCGGCCACTCGATCTACTCGACGACCGTCCACTCGACCGCGTTTTCACGGGATCGACACCAGGTGCCCAAGGATGTGGTGTCCCAGCTGGAGGGAGGTGAGGAGCCCAGCAGTCTGACTGAGCCCGACTGGGCGCCGACTGGGCGCTCTACGTGTGCGCGGCACACGTAGATGGTGCATCCGGTGGCAGGGAAGAGGGGTTTTCATGACCTGAACCGTTTCCAGGTCGGTTGATCAATGAAGCTGTGAAGATGTGAAGCAGTTGAAGCTGTGAATATTGATTGGCCATTTTCCATGCAGAGGTGAAATACTGTACCCTAGATATCCCTAGCTCCTATGTTTTTTTTCAGGTTCACCTGCAACTGGAGCGTTGAGATATAGTTGGGGGTTCTTCTTCGTGGTTTGGTGTTTGACTTTAGCGTTCCACTGCAGTCTCAGCTCGACCGAGTCGTGTCGTTCGAGGGTTCGAGGACCGAGGACCGTGTCGTTGCGTTCGAGGGAGTTGTCGTTCTTTGGAACTCCAGATTTCATGGCTCGCCATGGTCGGTGCAGATGAGAACTTGCCAGCTAGATCCAGCTATATAGCTAGACGCTCGAGCGGGTATTCCAATAGCTAGATCCAGCCGCTTTTGTGCGAGACGAAACGTGGGAGAGTTCATCCTACACCTGAAGGAATCGTTCCTGGTGCACAGCAGGGCACAGCTTAAGGCGCTGCAGTTGGCAACCATCTGTTTGTGCCCGAACCAACTGTGAGGCAACCCGAACCAACATGTGGAAGATGTTTGAGAAAGCCACCAGTTTTTCAGCGATTCTGCAAAGTTGTCATTCCTAAGTAAGTGAAAACATCTCAGGCGTTTTTAGGTGTTTTTTGGAGGTGTACCGCTTTGTTCCAGCTTTGTTCCAGCTGAGTGTGTTTTTCATGGCAAACACACATGTTCCATGTCAAAATGATTTCTTGGCAGAAGCTCCTTCCTTCAGGGTACTGTAGCTCAGAGACGTCAGATCCCTTAAGAATCTCAGAGTCGCTGTGCTGAGCTGGGCTCTTTTTGCAGCCCCAAGTTGGAAAAAACCCTAAGAAGTCTTGGCGTTTAGAGTCTAGAGAAGTGTTAAGATTGCCAATTGAAGTGTTAAGATTGGCTCTTTTCTGCGCTCAAGGAACCCGACACATCAGCGAGGGACCAGGCATTGACCTCCTTGATCATAGCGACTCAAACTGATGTGACATGGAAGTCAAACATCCTGAGCAAATTGCCTTCAGAGGTCAAGTATGGTCAAGTAGCAAAGCCAGAAGACATGTTATTCTGTTGAACCGTGCGGGCTGGATGGATGTATCATGTGCCGAGTCCAGATGTCGCACACCACGTTTTTTAAATTCGTGCAATTCGCGTTCTTTGATTGTATGTGTCAAATTGAACATTTTGAAGCATGTGGGCATTTGTTTAGATCTGTCCAACTAATTATTACACTCTTGTGAATCTCCAGCACATTTTTGAGGCCAGGCCAGTTGTATCAGTCAACATCAACTCACCCATGGTCAAGTCACCAAAGCTAAAAGGCACTAATCATAGTCTATTCCATTTTCTCCATGTTTCTTTGTCTCGGGACCAAAAAGGCCGAGTCTCCCTCTGAGGCCGACTGCATCAATTGAAGCAGATGGCTGGTGGTGATATCCAAATCGCCTTCCAGGCAACGGAAGAGAGATGCTGCAGCCTTGCAGAGCGGAGTGCAGAGCAGTTGTCAGCTGCTTTGAAAAAAGGCTGTTGACTAACCACACATCAAACCACAAGACCACAAACCATATGTAAACAGTTGACTAATAACACCCCAGCACAAAAGACGCATCAAACCTCCCAAAGCCTGGAGATGTCATACCATGAACACTTGCCTACACTTGCAGGATGGTCTAGTTACTTAGTCGCATAGGCCATGGGGGCGGCTGACATTTGAACTTTGCGCAAGACCCTCCAGAAACATCGAGCTGAGGTCCAAGGAGAGGAAAGAGCTGAGGTCCAAACCACTGCTTGGCCTGCTGAAACATGCTGAAACACACTCAGAATACCTATATACTTCTATAGTCCTGCAGCATCCCACAGCCTTTTCTGTCGCCAGACGAAGCCCGATCATGGGAACGCCGTGGCCGTGATTCGAGGGCCGCAGGCCGGTTGTTCTCGGGTGGGTTATGCAGCTCGAGGATCGAGGGGTTTTTAAACGACACGTATTGACTACGTATGGTTGATGAATTCGCAGTCAGTTTGCTAAGAGAGTCAACACTTGTTGCACTGGCATTGCCCTGTAGCTCACAATGTTCACTTCTCCATGCCACAGCGCTTCTTGAGGCACATGCCAGTCTGGGTGCCATCCTGGTGATGCAGGCGAGAGGGGGCGGGGGGCACGCACGGGGTTAAGTTTTGCATATGTCTGGGGTGTTTAGATTGGAATCTCATGGTAGAAGTATAATTATTGGTACTGCATAGTATAGTATAGCTAAGATTTCTGGCCTGGCTAGTTTGTCAGTGGAGTTTGTGAGCCACTTGGAGTTAGTATGTTGCGGAATTTCCTTCTAGAGGTGTGCAACATCCAAAAGATCAGAAAGCATCGAGACATTGGGTCCAATTAGACCAAGCTCTCAGAAAGGCAGGATGGAAGATGTTCAGTCAAGTTTAGTCAGGAGTTTGGAAGGTTCTGTGTGCGAAACGATGATATATCGATGTCTTTTGCTCAACCACAACCAACAACAAGAAAGCCATCCGAAGCCAGTGGCACACAGATGCACCAAGTGGAAGGTGCCTGCCGTACGCTACAACAGTGCCTTTGTTTCTTGGGGCCGTCTTCACCAGCGCAGCGGGCCGGCCGGCCCTGCCCTGCAGGAGCTTTGCGACCTGGTTCAGATCCCCGTGTGACGACCAGGTGCCACCGACGGCACAACGAATGCACACCGGCCCTGGCGGTTGGTGACGGTGGGTGAACGGGCGCCCGACCTGGATGGTTGAAATGGGGACCTGGATGGACCGATCAGTTGGAAAAGTCCCACCCCTTGTACCTTAAGTTCAATGTGGTGACCGCATTGTTTGTCCACCTGCCAACAAGCCCACTAACATTGACATGCTTTTGGAGGGACAGGGGCGATACGGATGACACTTGCAGCCTTTTGACCTTTGCTCCAGCTCCTGTCCACGTTTGCTTGCAGTGAAGGCTCTTGCCCAGCTCCCCCTTTCCCCGATCAATGAGATCAGGATCGAGATAGATCAAGAGACAAACCAAGCATCTTCGCACCCCGGTGTTTGGTATGATCCACATCCATCCACCTCCGCTTCGTGACCCGTAAGACTCCAAACCGGCTGGCTTTTTTTGTGCCGTTCGTGACCCTTCACAGGCCCTGGAAAAACCGTGACCTGAAAAAGAGTGATCTCAAAGGTTCACTTTGAAATACTTTGAAGAACCTTTGATCAGGACCGACCATTCTATCATATTCAGTTATAGGTCCTGAATATTCCTGAATATGATAGAATGATCAGGACCTATAGTCATATTGATCCTTCCGAACCTTAATGAATCTTATAATAAGGACCGGATCCAACCGCTTTGCTTTGCTCTTCAAGGACCGACCAGTCGATCGACCAGTCGATCGTTTGAGGTGGCCATCCTCGCCCTCTTCGGGGGCCGCGCGGTTGGGCACGCAGACTGAGGCGACAGCCGCCGACCGAAAAACGAGGGTCGGCCATGTCGCCGCAGAGAGACCTCGGGATTGGTTCATCATTGGCTGGGAAGTCCAGTGACCTTTCTCCCGCAAAGCTACTGTACTAGGAGCGATCGGACGCAAGAAAGTAGCTCCTGGCATCGCTACTGTACTAGGAGCGATCGGACACTACGAGGATTTCTTCGTACTGACCCTAAAGCTTTTGACCGCCACCTATCCCGTAACGACCAGCTCCCGCGAGCTATCCCGCGACGAAGACCCGCTAGACATCGCGACGCGGTGGGCAATGGCAAAAAAGGAGCGCATCCGCCGTGGCCAAGAAGAGTCGACCAACAAAGTATATGTAGCTAGAAGCTATTAGGTGGAGGCCATCCCTATTAGGGTGGAGGCCATCGCTACTAGTAGCAAGAAGCTACTAGTAGCTAGAAGCTACCAACAAAGTATATGATGAATGAAGTGGGCGCTGAACTGGCGTGACCGATGGTGGCGCCATTTGGACCATACACAGGACGTTGATATTTTGGTGGCTTCTTTTTCTTGATTTTCTGCATTGTAGAACCACGTTGTGCATGTATTTCATTGTATTATTGTGATATTCTATAGAGGCCTGATTCGACCTGTTGCATCTCGTTGGAGCTTGCATCTTGACCTGTTCTTTTTTTCAGCCTTCTTCAGCAGGTTGTTTTGAGCATCAGGCACTACTGAGTGACAAGCCAGGGTCAAAATGTTTCCAACATGTTTTGCCCAATATTTGGGCATCGGCTGTTGCAATATTGTTCTAGTGGTCTTAGGGTCTCGGGTTCTTCCAATTCCTAGTCATAGTTGACCCATAAAAGACAGACAGTGATGGAAGTGAAAACAACCACAAAGTCCTGCTACTAATACTGCTACCACCAGGACGCTGACGACGACTACTACTGCTGCTGCTGCTGCTGCTGCTGCTAGTACTACTACTACTAAAAACATTACACAATATTACCAACAAATATTACAATTACTGCTACAAGTACGAATTACATTGCAACAACAACTGCGTTGAATACATGAAGTGTACGCGTTCTTTTGGGAGCGCATGATCCTTGAACTTTGACTTCCCATGGCTGACAGTGCCTTGGCGCCAGTGGATGGAGATGTATGCAACTGTCAAAATTATAGGACTATCCAATCCTTCTTCGGGGTGATGTATTTTGAACCTTTTGGTTGCGCATCTAATCTCCAAGGTCTTAGTTTCTTCGTGTTTTGCCCTGCTAAATTCGATGTTTGCGAATTCGATGTTCGCATCACGATCGTTTCGAAGGTCCAAAACACAGAGAGTTGCTTGGAATGCTGACGATGCAGATGCACTGTACTCAATGCACTATGTGCACATATGTGCACATACTGTGCATACGCGATTGATAATCTGATTACAAGGAACTTATTGCCAAATATTCCCAAACATATCATGCAAAGATATCATGTGTTCGCTGTATTCACAACCCTACGTCGTCCTGGTCTGAGTGTTTTGTGAGAGACGTATTGTCGAGATGTCAGATGTTCCATGGCGCAATGATTGGGAACACGATAGGAGGAAACAACGATCATTGGCTGAAGATCCGCGGACGTGCCTTCGACTTGCCTTGGAGTCCTTGACAATAATTGTGATTCCCACTGATGGCACTGCACTCCCGAAAACTAACATATATCCTGACAATGGTCCCATGGAAGACTATTTTCCTCTATCAACCACCAGGGGTTGTCAGGTTCCATGGTAGTCTTCCAGGGTGCAACTATACAGAAGAGAGAGAATCAATTTTGCCAAACAACACCCCGAAGCATCAAACAACAACACACTGCTGGATGAGTGTGGCTACCCTCCATGCAGCAATCATAGAAGAGAACAGCCTGGCCCCTGGAATGACCAGTTTCCTCTATAAACAGGCGGTTGTCCGCTGAAAGATAATTCCAGCGAGTGGAACTCTTCGCAGACTTCTCCCTCACTGAACACCCCCCCAAAAATCATTCACATCCCTTGTGTTCTGTGTGACGTTCTCCCCAACGACGTTCTCCACCCCGGTGTCAATTCCGCCTTCCTGGCCACCCCTGCAGCCTGGACCGCCTGGAACGGCCCGTCGGACCAGGTGGGGAGCCCCACAGGCCACCGGGCGGCTCGGCGAGCGCTGGCTTAGGGGGGCGAAGGTTGGAGCTCGGCGGCTTGGAGCTCGGCCAGGGGGAGCTCCAGCAGATAGACATGGCACGGGGCCCACAAGATGTCTAGATGGGGGTCCATATATACCAGCTAACTGACCTAACTTGGGCATTGGGCCATCTACTCTCAATCCACTACGGACTTGTTCATGATTAGGGATCCAACACTACTCCTAGAAAATGCCTGAGCGCTTCCAGTCAAATGTACAGCAGCTCGGCGACTTCAGCTCGGTCCACAGTTATCAGACTTTAGGACCTCTAGGACCGGGATCAGCACAAGAAGCGATGAAGCAGCGATGGATCGGGATACAAGATGAGAGGAATCCCAAGACTTGGTGATCACTGATCCTCAGTGATGGTCTTGCGGTACGCGCGAGCGCCATCCTGCCATACAGGAGAAGACAAGAAGACATGCTTTTTTGCATTTGTTTGCTAAATTCTAGGTCACCCAACTCAGACCGACCACGGTCATCTGGCTTGTGATTGTAGCGTTCTGGCAGCAGCTGAAGGTCATCCACGGTGATTCGTTGCACGAATTGCTTCAGGAAAAGGGGCACTTAGAAAGAATAAGACACAGCGTTGTCAATCATCATGCCAGAACAGAAGGTGGGTCATCAGGCCACAGCCACATGTTATAATATTAATTGTTGATGTATGGGGAGAAGAATCTTCCGTGTGTTTCTCACTTGGGCCATTTGCAAACGCTTGAGCCATGTCGTGGTTGTGCCGCTTGAGGTGTGGTGACGTCCACAACCGTCGCGGCGACGGTTGTTTCAGTGTTTGGGTCCCTGTGTAGAAGAATAGAGTGGCACCTATGGCACCTATCGTCCTTGTCAGGCGTGTAATGGACTTGTCTAGGTTAATGGTCATTCTGGTTTTGTGGAGGTTGAAGAGTTATTCTGTTGTGTAAAGACAAGCTAACTTCGCCTAATTAATCATTTTGTTAGGAGCATTCAACTCCTCATCTTAGAAAAACATTATGTTGAGTGTCACAGCAGCTGTGCCAGTGACGATCGGTAGTTCTTGCCAGTTTGGGCCTGTGTTTTAGGACAATGCTTTGGGAAACCGACACTATAGTAGATAGATACTATAGGCGTTTCGGAGCTGTAGGGGTCTAGTCATTGAAGTTGCTGGCTGCCGGGTCCTCTCATTTATGATCGAGCCTTATTTCACATTCGGGAGGTCTTTTGGAGTTTGACAGACCCTGAATAATACCCAGGCACTCCATGTATATTTACCATTATTTACCGATCAGTTGGGGTGGTTTGAGGGGTCAACGTATATATGACAAGCCCATGGGTCGTGTTTGCTCCGATCGGGCGACGTCGAGCTCGGGTGTCGCAGACTGAGAACCCGCTGGGTAGACTGAGGTAGAGGGGAGCTAGCTCGGATAAAGATGGAAGAACCAAGCAGAACCTGACACTTCAAAGCATATCAAGACCACTTTGGAATCTTTGGAATTTTTTTCATACGATTATATTAAAAAAGTAATAAACATATACATATATAGTCTAGTACATGTAATGGTATAGTATATTCAGCGTTTGTCTATTCATTCCCGTGTTTCTGTTTCAAGCAATCAGACCGTCCAAGTCCTTACCATGCCCTTTTCACCCGGTCCTCACGGCAGGTGGAGCACTGCGCTAACCACTGGGCTGAGGCGCTACAGCGATGTGACGTCGAGTAGCGGTGGCGCAGCCGTGCGGCGGGCGCAGTTGCTGGCCTTGAAGGGCGGACGGCGGTTGCCCACTGTCAAACGATCCAGGCCGATCCCGAAAGGGGCAGGGACCATGGGGATGGGAAGGGGGTCGGATGGGCTGCAGTGATGGGATAGCGATGTGGGGTAGTGGGATTTGGGATGATGCATGGGGTAGTGGGACGTGGGACGATGGGGCGAGGTGATCCTTTTGGTTGCGGAGATGGGATGGGATGATGCAAAGATCCTGAATTTGGCTAGCCGAGTAGCTTTCTGACGACATGGGGGGGTGGGCGGGTGATGCTCGAACGGGCCGCGGT